GCAGGCCACCTTCTGGCTTTTCTCTGTCCTGCGGAGGGTTCATATCACCTGCGGAGTGGGCCCCATACCCAGCTCTGAGTGTACAGATGCCACGTATGTTCATCTTGAGGAAATGTGGCTGGTTCCTCGGTCCGCAGAATGTCCTAAAAGTGAACACTGCCTAGGCCCAGCCATTCTGAGGAGTCATAAAAATGTGTCCTTGTGGTCACGAAAAGACACACGTGAGAATAGCCCCGGAACCCAAATATCCATACACGGTAGAAGAGGCGGGTGAGCGCGGTGTCGTCACAGGGTCCTGCACAGAGACCCCAACCTGAAGACCGCGGCTACAGGGGCAACGGGGACGAATCTTACAGACGTGATGTTGAGTGGAGGGGGTCGGATGTGAGAGTGCACACTGGGCGAGTCCATTTACACCAAGTCCAAAAATACCAAAACTAACTCCTAGTGGTCGCACCGTGGGAGCGCAGGTGGAGGGCACTGACCAGAAGGGAGCCGAGGTGCCGGCTGCACGGATGGGTTCGTTTTGTGTACACATGATGGTTTATGCACCCTTGGGTGTGTATATCACACTTGAGTGAAAACAGACATAAAAAAGGACCAGTTGCTTTTGGTGAAACTAAACACATGTCTTTGTGACCAGGACTTTGGAAAACCGACATGGCCAAACTACTACAACCTCCACCCAAGTTCTTGCCCTCCGAGTGGCACCTCGCTAACAAGAACCAGTACCACAGAGCGGAGGCCCAGAGGTCCCGGTCCGAACGATTGGTGGCAGAGAGCCAGAGGCTTGTGGACGAGATTGAAAAGACCACAAGGAAGTCTCAAAGTGATGCAGAAAAGAAACTAGGTAGGATGCCCCACTTGCGACATTTGCGCCCCAGCCCGGATGCCACAGGGAGGTGTAGCCACGCTGCCGTCTGTGTTCCGTGGTCAGGAGGGGCAGTGGAGTGTCTTGGAGTGCTGGGGAAAACGTGCATTTTTCAGGTTCTGTCTTTAAGCTCACTGCCCCAAGACAGACAGAGGATGGTAACCCAGCCTGCTTTCCAGGCTCCGTCGTTCGTTTTCTTACGGATTTGATGCACTTACTGAGCATCTAAGAGATGCCTGGGCTGCCCGGTCTCTCTGGACAATGAAGTGCAAACCCAGACCCTGCAGAAAGAGGTCCCAGTTAGCACGCTAGCCTTGTAGCCTCAAATATAATCAGGTGAGGGTCAGAGACACTTGAGGAGCACCTCTAGCATGACAGACACCCAGACAGACACACACACACACACACGCGGCAAAAGAAAAAAATACGCCATAAAATATTCAGGAAATTTGAAGAAGACACTGCATCTAGGAAACGAGAATCTTGAAAAAGAACACTCAGGGAATAAGAAAGCATCCTTGGGAATTAAAAACGTGAGAGCACGTTTGTAAAAATCAAAAGAAGGGTTGAAAGAGAAAGTTGAAGAATCTCCAGGAAGTAGAGAAAAAAAGACAAAGAGGTGGATGGATAATAGGAGAGGAAGGGTAAGAATTAGGGGACCCACAGGGAGGCTCCTTATCTAACAGGGATTCCAGAGGGGTGCAGAAAAGAGGAAGAGAGGAAACCGTCTGCGGAGGAATCCTAGGAAACCCCTAGAGCCAAAGGGTCTGTTTCCAGCTTCTGGCATAATGATCGAGTGCTGCTGACACTAGGAAAACAGGGAAGAGACCCCTGAAAGCCTTTGGGGTCACACAGAGAATCGGGAATTCTCCACGGGAACTCTGGAGACTAGAGGACATGAAGCCACGTCATCAAAATTCTAAATGAAAATCACCTACAACCTAGAAATCGACACGTAGCCGAAGTCAAAACAATGAAGGTAGAATGAAGGCATTTTCAGACCTCAGGCTTTCACCTTGCATGCCCCCGTCTCTGAGGAGGGCGTGCTTCAGCAGGTGGAGGGGGAGGGAAGGAGCAGGTGACAGCTAGGAAGGGGGTGGTGGCAGGTGCAGGGTGAGGGGTTCTGGAACCGGGACCAGCACCAGCCAGCAGGAGGGAGGGCGGGAGGAGAAAGCGCTCCAGGGCAGAGGTCCTGGGAAGAAGCAAACCCAGCGGGTTCCTTGATGGGGCTGAAAATGCTGGGGTGTGTTTGTAGTTCTGTCAGAAAGTCCGAGGAAACATTAGTCATGAGTCTCTGGAAAGTGAAACAAAAACGTGCCTGCCAGCCCCTCCAAAAACCAACAGAAAACTGTACATGAGGAGAAATTGATTGTAGGGCACCACGCGGCTCAGGTGCATATAGCGTTTATGCATTTATGGTCTTACAAACAAGTGTGGAGCTGTTCTGTGACAAAAGGGCACACAGCCCTACGGGGAAGACCGAGGAACAGGAGCGTGTCGTCCGAGAGCAAATCCTGGCTTCCAGTCACAGGAAGTTGGTAGATATCATTTAAACTGATCATGAGTAAGTAGCAGTGTGAGCAAATTCCAGGAGAAATTCTGAAAGCATTTAAAAAGTGATTGCTCCCGGGGCGCCCGGGTGGCTCAGTCGGCTGAGCATTGGACTCTTGATTTCGGCTCAGGTCATGATCTCAGGGTCGTGGGCTCGAGCCCTGTGTTGGGCTCTGTGCTCAGTGGGGAGTCTGCTTGCGATTCTCTCTCCCTCTGCCCCACCCTCCCCCCACCTCTAAAATAAATAAATAAATCTTAAAAAAAAAAATGCACTGCTCCCAGAAAGCGGGAGTGGGTGGGGACAGGTCAGAGAACTGCAACATTGGCGCTGGTCGACTTTTCAAACAACATACATCTAGATCTTTGATAAAATTAAAAGGTATTAAAAACAGCAGGTGTTAAAGAATTAAAGTCAACCAGTGTGGACGATGTTTGCGTTAATTGGATGTTGACCTTGTAAGAAGAGATTCCTTCCCTCCCTCCTGCTGCCCCCACCCTGCCCTCCCCTAATCAGCACTTACAAGGTGGAAAGGGGCGCCAGGCAGCGAAGAACATGGCTGGGGTAGTTTGAGGATGGTCTTTACGTTTCTGATCCCGGAGCTGGCGGCGCCCGGAGCGGACTGACCCACGTGTAACGCCGTGTGCTTTCTCTGTGTGCCTCAGAACAGAGACTCGAGGAAGTCAGGTTCTGGAAGAAGGAGCAGGACGACAAGCTCGAGCAGCTGGTGTACGTCACGGAGGACCTGCTCACGTACCAGACCAGACTGGTGAAGGCGCTGGAGAGCATGAAGGAGCCCCTGCATATCACCCAGATGTGCCTGGAATACAGGTGGGAGTCGCTGTCGTGGGGGACCCGGTGCTGGGGGTAGAATCCAGCTGCGCTGGGGGCTGGGTCCCAACGAGGCCGGCGAGCACGTGTTCTCTGGAGCCCGCCGTGCCGGGCAGGGAAGGAGCTCTTCACTACCTTACTTTAAATGTTAAGTTAGGACTAGGTTTGGCTGCAGAGACTCAGAAAACTGTAAAATAACACTGAATTTAAGTAGGGCCGTTCTTTCTCTCTCGGGGTTAGGGAGTCTGGAGGAAGTCAGTGTGGGACCGGCATGGTGTGGGTCTCAGGGCTCTGCCACATGGGTTCACGCCCCCCAGGTGACCTCGTGACTCCAGACGGCAGCCAGAGCTCCAGCCATTCCATCCATGCTCCAGCAAGTAGGAATAATTAGGGTTTGGTGTTCCCCATTTGCCCGTGCAGCCCATTGACCGGAGCTTAGTCACAGGGCCACACCAGCAGAAACTGGGAACTGGGTGTCTCTGTTTTGGGCAGGCAGAGCGGGTCCAGTTCCTAGAGGATAAGTCTGTGTCAGTACGCAGAGCCCCATGGAAGAACTTTGTAATCCAGAGAGCCCCGTGCAAACGTACCTTTTTACCGTCATTTCCCTCCTTGAAGTCCTGTGAGCGGGCGATGCTCTCTGCTTGGGGGAGGCACTCAGGTCCCCACCCGTTTGCGGTCAGGCCCCGAAACAGGCCCCTCCACGTCCGGTGCCCGACATGTTGTTAGTGCCCGCCCTGGGGGGATGTGGACGTTGCATTGTTGTTTCATGGTAGAGCACGTTTCTGGGTTCAAGCCCTTGGCAAAAATCAGGACGAGGTCCTGTTTCCAGGAAAGAGACACATGTCTTCACAATTCTAAATCAAAAGGACATTTCCAATGAGCAGATTAGAAGGAAAAGTCTTCCAGAATCATGGCCCAATGGAGGGGAAAAGTGCATCTGGCGTTTTTCTGACCAGGTGACCAGGGGCCGATGGATCTTGCTTCCTTGGGTTTTGGGTATTTTGAAGTCTCACAGATACTGACTCATGCACATCCCTGACCACGCCATCCAGACGGTCGGGTCATAGTCTAACCCATTGTCCAGGTAGCTCTACGTGGCTCGAGCACCCCTGCGTGCGCTCGATGACCGGCCCCTTCCCCTTGGCCAGGGAGAAGCGGGTGGGCATTGACCTGGTGCGCGATGAGGTGGAACAGGAGCTTGTGAAGGAGGCCGAGGTCATCCGCGGGGTGATGGCTCTTCTGACCCGCACCCTGGAGGAGGTGTCCGAGCAGATCAGGTGCAGCTCCCCGCGGCGTGTCCCAGAAGGAGGCTGGGTGGGAACACAACATGCGGCGTGAGCCCCACGTGACAGCCGCCCGCCGGCTGTGGGGGGGACGGGTGGATTCACCCCGATGGTGAACTGGAGCCCTTTCCTGCCAGAGCTTGGACCGCTCCCATCAGCAGGGTCTTGAAGATCCGGGCCGGTTAGTTAAGCCGTCACCCAGCACCTGCAGTGTGTGTGGTGCTGGGGGCGGGCCGGAGGCGAGCAGGTGCTGCGTCCCACACCAGACCCAGTGCTGGCTCGGCGCTGGCTCGTTGCCCCCGGGAACCTGCGGGGCTGCCCGGCACTGCAGTGGGAGACCCCACCTCCTCTGTCCTTCAGGCTGAACCGCTCGGCCAGGTACAACCTGGAGAAGGACTTGAAGGACAAGTTTGTGGCCCTGACCATTGACGACATCTGCCTCTCCCTCAACAACAACTCCCCGAATATCCACTACTCGGAGAAGGCTGTGAGGGTGGAGCCAAAGTGAGTGGGGCCCCCGTCCCTGGCTGTGAGGGTTCAGCCACGGTGAGTGGGGCCCCCGTCCCTGGATGTGAGGGTCCAGCCACGGTGAGTGGGGCCCCCGTCCCTGGCCGTGAGGGTCCGGCCACGGTGAGTGGGGCCCCCGTCCCTGGCC